AATATTAAGAAAGAGTATCTTAATATATTCGAGGCGATAAGAATTATCTTACTTATAATAATTATAATTAATGAAGATCTTAAATATCTAAATCTTTAAGAGTTAAATTTCTAGTCGAAATATTATATTAACGCGCTTAGTTAAGTAATAATTAAAATATAAAGAGATTAGAGATAATAACTCTATAAGAATACTCGATTTATACAAAGTATTAATAATTAATCTATAAGTTTTAAGATAAGAAAGATATTAATACTCTTAACTAATTATTATTATTAATACTTCGAGCTCTTTTTAATAAGAATATAGCTTTTCGACTATATAGATAATTTTTATTTAATTTTAATAAAGAAAATTCGAGATATCGTTTAATCTTATCTTAAGGTTTATATAACGTTATCGCTTAAAGATCTAAAGGCGATAATTAGCGATTTATTAGTCGATCTTTAATTTATATATTAAGATTTATAAAATAGATAGAATATAGTATATTTTATAAAATTTAGATTAATTAGCTTTTTTAGCTAATAGTCTTTATAATAAGAAATACTTCTTATTCTAATTAATAGTTATATTATTATATAAAATTTTCTTCTATAATAAGAGAGTATTTCTCGAATTTAGATAAAGAAGTAAGTATTTTTAATTATTCTTATTCGATAATACTATAATTCTTATAATAACCGCTCTTTATTATAATCTAAAGAATTATAATTCTAAATATTTTTATATTAAAAGATGAGATAGTAAGAAAGTCGAAGATAAACTCTTTATTATTATTTCACTACTTATATAATTAGAATACTTTTTAGAAATATATAAGTATATTAAGAAGTTCTAGAGAGATATAAAATAATAGAAAAAGTTTATCGTATACTATATATTACGATAGTGTATTCTAAAGATATATTTTAGATTAATAAGAAAGATATAAAAACTCTCTAAATTAAATAACTTATATAAGAATTTGTTAAATAATATTATTAAGGAATTAAGCTTCGTAAGCGCCTTAAGAAAAGTTATATTAAGGTTCGCTAATACTAAATTATTTAAGAGATTAAATTTAAGCTTATTTAAAGATGATAAGAGAATCTCGCGAGCTATTAAGAAATAATCGATATATAAAATAACTAAATAGAAAGGAATTAATTTAATAAATAATAATTAGAACTTAGATCTCTCTAAGCTCGAAGTATAAATATTTTATATCTTAGTGAGTAGAGAGGATAGATAAAAAAGATTAAACTTTAATATATTATCTATAACTTTACTATAGCGAATAAAGAAAGAGACGACTTATAAAGAAGATAAGTATTTATAGATTAATAAAATTATACTAGATAGGGAGGAAAAATATAAAGAATATATAGCGTAGTAAATAGAATAGAGAGAATTAGTCTCTTTATTTATTAAGCGAATTAAATAAGAATTAATAAAGGATTAAATATCGCTATAGCGCTTAAAATTCTAATTATTTAAGAATTTATATCTTAGAAATTATAAATATTATTAATATTACGATAAGATATCGCGGTAAATCTTAAATCGATAATTTTTATTAGATATTTAAGAATATCGAGTTTAGTTCGAATTAAATACTCTAGAGACATTATTATAATCGACGATATCGTTTAATTCGAATACGTTATAAATATTAATATTACTAGCGAGACTAGCTAATCTAGAATTTTTATAAATATTATTATAATTAATAATACTATCTAACTTAAATAGTCTCGAAAATCTTTTTAATATATATTTAATTAGTCGAATTAAACTTTTAATAGATATTATTATTATTAATAATATTATTTAACTCGAATAATCTAAAAAATCTATCTTATATATAGTCCCTCGAATTTTTAGATATATACTATTAAATTAATAGCTTATAATTACTTTAAAATCTAATTAACTTAAATAAATACTATCTTAACTTATTAAATACGAAGTTTATTATATTTAATTATTAAATTAGCGAAAAGAGTTAGATATAGATAAAGTCTACTTAATAGACTAAATCGTACTAAATCGTATTTATAATACGGACCCGGCGAAAATTGTGCGGAAAGGAACTTTTTAGATTTGCAGATGTTCTTCGTAGTATTCTCCGTATTTATCTATTATAGTTTCTTCTCTTACTTCTTAATATAGTAAGAATAATAGATTAAATTATAGTAATATTCTCCGCTTACTAAGTAATAATTTAATATGAAATCGTAGAGAGTATATAACGTTCGAACGCGTTTAATATAACTATAATATTTAAATATTAGTTTAACTTATCTATCGCTAACTTAAAAGAAGTATATAAAGGAGGACGTATCCGTTCGGGCTCTTTTTAAGAACTTTTCAACGCGTTTATAAGCAGTAATAGATAGCTATTAAGCTCGCTTACGGCCTCGATTACTAGTAGTAGCGAATTCGTCGAGGAATAGCCTAAGGGCGTTAGTAAGAGGCTCTAATTAGACGAGGAGTACCGAAGACGATTATATTTATATTAGTGGAATTAGTAGAATTAATAAAATTGATAGAATTAATAAAATAATAAAAGAATAATAAATAGATAGAAGAATTATTATTCGATCTCGAACGCGTCTAATATAACTATTATAACTATTATATTTAAATATTTATTTAATTCACTAATAGTAGGCTAAACTTTATTATTTTTATAACGTTAGAAAGCGTATATCGAGTTCTATAATTTACGAAATTATAAAGAAATAGCATTCGTAGAAAGCTAGTTATTTTAGAGTATAAAACTTCTATATATAAATTTTTAATAAGAAAGCTCGAGAGAGCTAGCGAGCTAACTTAGTTAGTCTAGCTAAAAGGCGTAATAACCTCGAATTAATAATTGGCTATATATATAAATTTAAGGTTTTCAAGCTTAGCTCTATCTTATTCTTTTATATATACTAATATCCGCTAATTAATCGTTAATAGACTACGCTTTTATAATTCTAATCTCTCTATCTTTTAAAGAAAAAGGCCTATTATTATTATAATATCGAGTTTATCTCTAAATTATATAGTAAAAAATAAAGATAATATCGAGAGTCGCTATAGCGCTAATAATAAGTTTAAGAATTTCTTATTAGTAAAAGATCTTACTATAAAATAGTATCTTATAATTATTAAAGTCGAAAATTATTATTTAAAATAAGAATATAAATTAGCTACGTTAGAGATCTATAATCGCGAGCTTTATAACGCTAGCTTATTATTTATAATTAATAAAGACTTATTTATACTAATTATTATCGCGTCTTTAATAAATATATTAATTAAAATAAAAATACTTCGCTTTAAAAGAATATATTCTTATAAGAGTATTAATAAGAGAGAGTATCTACGCTAGTTCCGCGAAGTCGAAATTAAGTTTCTTATAAATTTTAAGTATTTTATTATTAACTAATTAAGAATTATTTATTATATATAATTCTTAGAAGATAATCTTAATATCTAATAATATAAATATTATTAAGTCTATAGCCTAAAGAGTATAACTTTCAAATTCTTTAAGTAGTTTCTATTTAATTTAATAATAGATCTAGTAAATCGCTATCTTCTTATATATAAAAAGTAGAAGAAGATTAAATAACGCTTCAATTAGAAGATATCTATTTTTAAGATTTATTTAAAGAAGCTAGAGGCCTATATAATATTATTTTCTAAAAAATATTAGATTAATTTCTTCTTAACTAAATTTAAATTAGAGCTTAAAAATAAGATTCTAAGTATTAATAGTATATCGAAATAACGAGAAGAAATTCTTATCTAAACTATTATATAGAAAAAGATTTTAAAACGTATACTTCGATAATAGTTTTTATTCGAAGTTTTTAAAGGGGTTCGCTAAGAATAAGTCTTTAAAGAATCGAATTTCGAAATCTAAATTAGCTTTAAACGGCGGTATTTATATAATATATATTTAAGACGATAACGTAAAGTGTAAAGTTAAATCCTTTAATTCTAATTATAAGAAGAATAATTATTTTTATTATAAAAAATAGAATTATTAAATATCTAAGTATTTAGATCTCGATAAATTATCTATAGCCTATATCGACGTAGTATTAATAAAAAAAGATTCGATCTTATAATCGTCTTAAAAGCGAGATAAGAATAATAATTAATAGAGATAATTTCTTCTATTCTTATAAAGAAATAAATAAAGCTTTAAAATAAATAGAGATAATTTATTACTCTACTTAATACTAAAGCGTATATTAATTTAATTTCGTAAAAGTTTATAATTTAATAGAATTTAAAATTTTATAACGTTATCTTATCGTAATCGAAAGTGCTAAATTGTTACGAGCGTACCCTTGACACACCACTCAGCCCTCAGCCCTATGGCTAGCGGGCCTTGGCGGAGGCATCTCCTACTATATCATGCCTCCTTCCCACCTACATAGTTCGGTAGCCTTATTATCCTAGTTCTACCTCACCCATACTGGTATCGCACCTATGCTGGTCCTGACATTATAATAAGGCTCCTTCATACCCCCCGGCGAAGAGAAACTTAAACGGACACACTCGAGGATAGCAGAGTGACTAAACAGCTACCAAATATTTCACTTTCTGCTCGGAGCAAGCGACCGAGCCTGATAAAGAAAACGCTGGGTATTTCTACCATACAGAAGCCCCACCACACATACAAATCACAAACCACCTACATCATTCGAAAGAACCTACATCAAACAACCTACACCATCAACGGTAGCCCAATCCATCAAAAAACGAGTCCCCTACATCGAATACAAGAAATCCTTCTCCGCTCCGTTCTTACCTACATTCAACACATCATGAATTCTTCAAATCCACCTACATCAATACCAAGATACCTCCCTCCGGCCAGCCCTACCTTACATACGACGACCTACATAACAAACAAACACCCCCACACTCACAGTGAGCCTGCTACAATGGCAGCAAACGTACGACCTCTTCACTGAGCATGTCGACAACACACTCATAGTGAGCCTGCTACAATGGCGACGGGAACAGACCCGGCAAAACGACTACGATTCGACCTCTTCACTGAGCATGTCGACAACACACATAGTGAAGCCTGCTACCAAATGGCATTCAACACATTCGATTCTTTCCCTACCTCCCTACCAAACCTACGAATCGGCAAATCAGTTGAGACAAAGGATGGAATGGAGGATGGACTTGATGGCAAGAGCATGGGAGACACAGGGCAAATCTACAGTGAAGCTCCCAGGCCAGGCTGCCAAAAGGTGTTGGAGGTGAATGCATGCGTTGGATTTTCTTCAATTCTACCGAAGGACTATGGCAAGAAGGACTATGGCAAGAAGACTGGGCAAGGAGAAGAACTCGGAGAATCTTGCTGGCACGCAGGCAAGATGTGGACTACATCTCCGGGATCTCTGCAGGGTAACATGGCAGGCATGGCACAGTCAAGACCAGCATGCGGCCCGGCAATACCACTACACCTCGGCAAATCTTCTCCAGTCAAGGCCTACAGGGACTATGGATGTTTGGAGACACAAGGCAAGCAATGGGCGTGCATCTCCGGTCTACCAGCCATGGGGGCCATGGCTATTTGAGAGGGGGGGGTAGTGTTACGAGCGTACCCTTGACACACCACTCAGCCCTCAGCCCTATGGCTAGCGGGCCTTGGCGGAGGCATCTCCTACTATATCATGCCTCCTTCCCACCTACATAGTTCGGTAGCCTTATTATCCTAGTTCTACCTCACCCATACTGGTATCGCACCTATGCTGGTCCTGACACTAAATAATTAAAGTATATATTATTATAGCGCGTATTAGCTAGATTACTAATTAGTAAATAATTAAGATTAAAATAAAAAATATAATATACTCTTTTATATTATTAATTAAAAAGACTTTAATATCGTATTAGATATACTCGAGCTAAGTTAATTATAAGTATTATTAAACTTAACGACGAAGTAATAATAGTTTAAAATTAACGCTAATAAATTATAGATTAAAGAATTAATTAAATTTATTTAAATTATCGAATAGAAGTTAAATATATTTATAATCGTATATACGTTGCGATAGCGCGTAGCGAATCGAAAAATAGGCGTAATCTAAAGCTCTCTTAGAAGTTATTAGAGTTTAACGACGTTTTTTTTAATAAAAAAGTAGAAATCTTATTTACGCTTAAATAGAAGAATTATATTATTAAGATTAAAAGCGATAAGAACATCTGCAAATCTGAAAAGTTTCTGCAAAATTTGAAATTGCTAATCGCGCGTTTGTCGCGGAAATTACAAAATCCGCCGAATCAGCAAATCTGATTAGAATCTGCTCAAATTCCGCCGGTTTAGTAACTATTCTAATCTTTTTCGTTAATTCTATTAATTTAGTAGTAATACGCATAAAAAAAGAAAAGTTCTAATAATCGACGTTACGACGGTAAAATTCTACGGCGATAAGTATTAACGCTAATTTAAATTTAACTATAGAATTAGATAATTTAATAAAATTAATCGCGTAAATAATACTCTAATATAACGTATAATAATGCGTATATTAATAATAATATATATTAATATCATATATATATAGAATAGTACTTAGAGTGTATTAGAGTATATTACGCAAAAATTTTAAAGTTACTAAATTTTTTTAAAGTTGCTAAACTAATAGAATTAACGAAAAGAATTAAATATAGATAAAGTCTACTTAATAGACTAAATCGTATTAAATCGTACTTATAATACGAACTCGGCGGAAATCGTATAGAAATTCACTTTTTAGATTTATAGATGAAGTTATTATATAGTCTCTTATATAATCTATTTTAAACGAAGTTAACGAAGCTATAACGCTATCTAAAGAACTCTCTTTAGAAAAACTAAATTCGTTATTCGACTTCCTTAGCCGAAGTATTAATTCTTTTTATTTTTAAAAAGAATAAGAGGCTTCGTTTTTATATTAATTATCGAGGCTTAAACGCGATAACTATTAAAAATCGATATTCGCTATCTTTAATTATTAAGACTTTAAATTATTTATATAAGATTAAAGTCTTTATAAAGCTAGACCTTAAGAATATCTACTATTAAATTTAGATTAAAGAAGATAATAAGTAAAAGATAGTATTTCGTAATCGCTACGACTACTTCGAATATTTAATTATATCTTTTAAACTCGCTAATATATTAATAACTTTTTAAGCGTATATTAATAGAGCTCTTACGAGTTTAATAAATATAATATATATAGTATATTTAGATAATATTCTAATTTATAGTACTAATTTAGCGAAGTATTAGCGATATATTAAGTAAGTACTTAAGCGTTTATATTAGTTTCAATTATACGCTAGCCTAAAGAAGTATTAATTCTATATCGAATAAGTTAAGTTTTTAAGATTTATTATATCTATCGAAGATATCGCGATAGATTAAAAATATATCGCTATTATTAAAAAGTAGCTAAAATTAAAAAGTTATTAAAATATATAAGTCTTTTTAGACTTTATTAATTTCTATTAATAATTTATTTATAGCTATTTTAATATAATAGCGTTATTTATTAACTTATTTAAAGAAAGTAAGAATAATAAGAAATCTAGATTATTAGAGTAAATAAATAACGCTAAGCTAGTATTTTAATAGCTTTAAAACACTTTTATAACCGCGCTATTTCTACGCTATTACGATTTAAATTTAAAGTTATATCTTAAAATTAATACTTTTAACTTCGATATAAGAGTTATACTTTTATAATTAAATAAAAATAACTACTAACGATTAATAATATTTTAATCTAAGAAAATAATTTCTATAAAGTAAAATTATAAGATTTATAATTAAGAGCTACTCGCTATTATAATATCTATAAAATAATAACGTTATTATCTAAAAGATAGTATATTTTATATTAAGATTCTAACGAATTATAATAATCTTAAAGACTTTATAAAGTAGAAGAAATTAAATTTTAGATAAACTCGTTAAGCGCTAAAGTTAGTTACTTATAATTTTAAGATTTTTTATTAAATAAATAAATTAAACTCTATTAATTTATTATTATAACGCTTTAATTATAAGAGAATTTTATTATTAAATATTAAACTTTTATTAATATTATAAAATAAGCTTATACTTTAAATTAATAATAAGTAATTATAAAGAGATAAGAAGATTATAGCGGCTATAGCGCCTATATTTCGTATTATTAATATTTAAATAATTATTTCTAAAAGAGAGTCTAAAGTCGTATAAGAGATTACTTATAACGTATTTTAAAGATTAATAAAAATATTAATTCGAGATTTATAAGCTTATAATAATTAAATAAACTCTTTTTAAATTAATATTAATAAGCTAGCGATTAAGCGTCGCGTATATAATTAAATATAAATCTTAAATTTTAAGAGATTATTAAGATATAATAGTCGCTTTTATATTTCTAGAAATAAGACTTTAAGAAAAGAACTTATTAGTAAATATTATAATAATTCGTTATTAGAATACTTTAGCGCTATAAAAATATATAAGCTACTTACTCGTAAATACTATTAAAATAAAAATCTAAAGTAAATTATCGATTATATTAAGATATATAATATTTACTAGTAAATTAAAGCTTCGCGATATTATCTATATAGCGAATTAAGCTTACTTTTTATCGCTATTAAGCTATAAAAGAAAATTTCTATAAACTTTATTATCGATTTACTAGCGAGTAAATATAAGAGTATTATTTATAATACTATTCTAGTTATAATAAATTAATTTATAAAAATAATAAAATATATTTCTATATCTACTATAATCGATATCGCTTAGCTAATAAAAGTATTTTATTTTAAAATAATATATCGCTATAGTATATTAAATGATATTATTAGTAATAGAGACTCTATATTTATTAATAGCTTCTAATTCGCTATTTATTTTTATTTTAAAATTAAATAACGCTTAAGTATCGCCTTTTACTCGCAAATCGATAAATAAACTAAGCGATAAAATTAGATATTAAAATATTTCTTATATATATTTATTAATAATAAGTAAAATATTTAGATAAAATAACTATTAATAATAGAGTTCGCTTATATAAATAAATAATATTTCTTTATTAAAACGATATCGTTCTTTCTAATATATAAATATTATTCTAAAATTCGTTAGAAAATCGAGAACGACTTCGTCGAGGGAAAGATATTTATTATAAATAATAAAATAAAGAAATTATAAGCATTAAGGGATAAGATAGTAAAGTATTTTCGTAATACTATTACGACTTAGTTTAAATATTATAATAAAATATATTAGCCTTAAAGCTATAAGATAGATAATTTAATAATATTAGCGATTAAGAATCTAAAGTAAAAACGTCTAAGTAAGAAGTTATCTTATAAATTTATAAAATTATTTTAAATTATAAATAAGATAGAGATATAAATATATCGTTTACTTCTATTCTTAATATATAGAATTTATAATATCTTTTATATATCGTTATTTAAGTTTTATTATCTTCGCGATTATAGTAATATAGCGAAAGTCTTTATATAAACTCTTAATCTTATTAATAATAATAAGCTTTAAAAAATTAAAGAAATTATTAATAAGATTAAATATAAGAAAGACGTTTAATATAAAGTTAAATAAACTAATTAAGGCGAAGAGTATAATTAATAATTATTAGATAATAAATTTATTAATATTAGCGAGCTAATTTAAGTCTATAAATAAGCGAGTAATAAGTAAAAGTATTAAATAATAAATAATAAATCTCTTATTATTAAAGAGTTTAATTAATTATATAAATTAATAGCGAGTAAGTAAAGATAATAAAATAAGATATAATTATCGATTAGATTAGATATATTTCTAGATAATATTTATACTATATACGTACTCCTCTATATTTATTATTATTAAGATATAAATTAATAAAATAATTATATTATTTAATTATCTATTAAACTTTATTATAAAGAAAGTTTATTATATTAAAGTATATACTATTAATATAAATATATTTTTATCTAGAGTAATTATTAAAGAATTATCTAAGAATCTTATATTAGCGCTATTACTAAAAAAAGATCGTTATTTAAATATTCTCTATTATCTTAATATTAAAGATCGAGTTAAATTTATTAATTTAATTTTTTAATAAAAAGATAATTAAAGTATAGTCTTCGAGTTAATACTTATCGATATTCGTTATATATCGATAAAAGCTTTTAAGCTTCTTCTTTAATAACTCGTTTATTTTCTTTAATTTCTTTATATACTTATATATCGCTATAAGCTAATTTTAAAGATCTATAATTATAATAGAGATAATCGAAGTTATCGTTATTATATATTTCTATAATTTATATTATTAAATAATCTTTTTATTAAGCTTAATTCGTTAATAAAATAGCTTCTAAAATTATTTAGCGCGGCGATAGCGCTATATTAATTTTCTTATCTACGTTTAAAGATATAAAGGAATTTTAATATAGTAATTAATATCGCGTTTTTCGATCTTATAGTTATCGTAGAGGGGAGACTTATCTTAAATATATAAATTATTATCTTAATAAAAGTAAATTCTATATAATA